CCGCTCTCGGCTCTGAGCCCGTGACGAGTCTGGCACTGAACCAGGCGGTGCAAGGCAGCGTCGGTGAGCTTATGTGACGGATTTTACGGGCCCTGCACAGGGGACCCTAGGTCAGAGGCTCCAGCCAGGTCTCTGGAGCAGCCTCATGGCCTTGGTCACGCCACGCTGACCATGGCTGGCCATGCCTCACTGAGTGGGGGTGGCAGGAGCACCATGCAGCTCCCTCCCTGCTGGGAATGTGCTCGCTGTAGACATGGCTGCGGGGAAGAAGATGCTGGGGAAAGCCGAGCTTGCCCCAGGCATGGCAGGAGAGCCGGTGCTGGGCATGGCATTTGGACACCAGGCACTGAGCTGATCCAGCTTCTCTAGCCCCTCTGCGCTACCCAGGCCAGAATCCAGCCCCAGGCAGGGATTGCTTCTCTGGCAATTGCCAGTGGCTGTCAAGGAGCTGCATGAAATGCCATGCTGCAAAGCAGCAGCAAGGCTCAGGAGTCTGCGTTTGTGGCATACTCACTCTGGAGGGATGAGGAGCGATCAGCACCTCCAAAGCTCCCTCCCATCCTACAGGCACTGAGCACTGGAAATGCTCTGTGCCTTTCACTGCAGATCAGTGCAATCTCAAACCTGTCGCAAAGGAGGGAATGGTGTGACACCATGGAAGACAGGGTCCGGGCTGGCCCACTGATGATGTGTTTTATTGGGATGACTTCCACAACAACTGTGTCTGGGACAATTTTTTGAGTACTGTGAGGGCCAGGTCTCCAGGGTTTGGTATCAGCCCTGGTCAGAGACACCTTGCTGGCGCTCTCCAGCTCCTCTGTGGCCAAAAAGCATCCTGCCACGCCGGGGACTGGGATGTGCTGCTGGAAAGATGACCGCCTGCTGCTGCACAGTAGAAGAGACCAAAGCTAGGAAATGCAACCAACCAACTGCCAGCAGTGATCAGTCATTTTCGAACCAGCACAACTCCACCCTTCCTGGAGCAGAAAAACACTTGCGGGCAAATGGATGCCTTGGCTGATACTGGGCTGTGCTGGGGCCACACAGCGGGGACACAATGGGTGGGTGGGAAGGTGGGGCGGGAGCCTTGCGGGACAGAGATTGGGGATGCCAGCTGTACAGGACCCAGCCTGAGGGTTGCCTGGCTAGGCTCACCAGGCAGAGCTCTCCACACAGCTTCACCCAGGGATTTTTTTAATCAGAACGGCTGAAAATACAAGTTTTAATCAGGACTGTGCAGCAGCACAGCAGGAAAACCTCAACAGAAATCACTGATATTTCAGCTTGCTGTCTTTCCCCTGTGGCTGCTCATGGCCCCCCACAGTCTGGAGCCGGACACCCTCCTGGGAGCAAGCAGTCTCAGGGTAGGAGTGACTGGGCTTGCCACTGGCCACAAGCCCCGGGAGCCAGGCTCCAGGCTGCTCCTGCCCTGCTCTTCTCTGGGCATCCCTGTCTGCAGACGAACTCTTCCCTCTGGGGCCAAGGTGCTTTTGCCTTCCCGTTGGCCTCGGTAGCAGGAGGCTGCGTAGGGCTCCAGGGGTTCTCCTGCTAAGGTGCCGCCGCGCAGCACCCGTGAACACCTGCAATGGCCACAGCTCTGGCAGAGGGTTCAAGGGGCTGCAGTTGGCACCCGTACCTCCCCGGCTCCTTCCAAGCCCAGCACTCAGCAGCTACCAGGTAGTTTCAAGTACACTGTGGTCTTGATCTGAAGGAAAGGAATGGGAAACGTTGCGGGACGGGGTCTCCCTTCCCCACCCACCTTCATTTCAAAGAAAGAAGATTTGAACTGAAATGGCAGCAAAGGAGAAGTACCAAGATAAAGCTCAGGCTGCGTCTGTGCAGATAGCAATGGGGAGCCGCTGCAGAACAACAGGAACTCCCCCTTGTGCAGATGCCCAGCTGAAGGGGAGCCTCGTTTGCCCCAGCTACGGAGCTGGGGACTCCCTGCCTTGGGTCTGGCAGCAGCAGCTCTGAGGGGCATGTGGGGCTGGATTTGTGCCAGCCGGTGAGGCCCTGCTCTGCTGAGCTGATTGCCTGGAGTGCAGGGGACCCAAGTCCTCCCAGGCCCCCAGGCTATGGGGCTGTGCCCTGCCTTGCCGTGGGGTGGGACCAGTGTTGAGGTGCGTGGTGACTTGCCACGAAGCAGCGAGCTCGGCAGGCTGTTGGGGGGCAGAAGTGAGGGGGTGCTGGAAGGGCAGCAGCAGCAAGGGACACAGCTCAGGCAGCTTCCCAGAGCCAGTCCCCCTCGTGACATGCTGTGACACTGCAGTGTGCCTCACAGGTACCCGTCCCATCTGCTAGGGAAAGGCCAAACAAGCCAGGTGCTGGGACAGGGCAAGGAACAAGGTTTTGTCTCACTGGAACAGCTCTTGACAAAACAATCAGCCCTGCCTTTTAGGTAGCAGCTGATGTGCTTGTGGAAGGGGCATTAGGAAGCGCCTACGATATTTTGCTGGTCCAGGGGACGTGGCACCCCATGGGTGTGTTGAGCTGTCCCAGCTGCTTATCTGCCTCAAGCCCTACTGCCGTCAAAAGCATTTGCCTCTCACCTGCCCCACACTCTCTGCAGATGTCCCTGACAAAGAGCTCATTCCTGTCAGATACCTCTTTCCTGAGACTGCTCACAGGCTGCAGCTATTTGAGAAGCTATTTAGGGCCCCTGACAAGGCAAGTTTCTTCATCCTCTGATCTTTTTGGGATGCCCCAGCAGTTCTGTCCTGAGCAGACGCATTAGCTGGAGGCTCAGCCTAAAGTAAGAATGATGAAACATGGGTGATGTGCAAGAATCACATTGACCCTTTTGGTTCCAGTGCTGTGCTGAGAACATCTGCCCAGCCTGTTTGGGAGTGTGCTTTTTGTGCTGAATGTGAAACCTTGCGCTCCTCTGGATTGCGCTGCGCTCAAGGCCCAGCCTTCCTGTTTTTTGCCTGCTGATTTCCGCTCCTTCAATCTTGGGGTCATCTGCTGACTTTATCAGCATGAGTTTCTTTCCATGCTGCTGATAGAAAAACCCAAAACACCAGACGAAAGGGTGAATGTGGAGGATGGAGCCCTCAGCTTTTGATGAGAACCACTCTTACTGGCACATGACTTCCTGCAGCAGGAACCTCCTTTGCATCTTCCGCTTGTCCACGCTGCAGTCCAGGTTGGGATCTCTCTGGTCATCGCGCAGTGGCTGGACTCCCAGGACAACTCCCTGCTTGCCACGCTGATGGAAGAAATCACCACTCTTTGCTCCCAACCTGGGGACCTCCCCATGGCTTTGTGCCAGTCTGGAGCGAGAACACAGGTGAAAGCGGAAAGCAGGACACGGCTTCTGCTGTGACCCCGAGTTAAAAGGTGCTCTTGTCTTTCTTTTCTCTACGCCTCTTTGCAGCTGTTTTGGGTGGGGTCCACCCTGCACAGAAATGTGGTTGATGTTGTAACTTCCCTTTTTCCACTCTGGTAGGTAGAAGTCTGTCTTACTTCGCACAAGGAGCCCTCCCCATTACCTACGCCGTGCTGGGCCTCAGAGAGGCAGGTGGGGGGCACTGCGAGG